AGCTTATGAGTGATGAAGCATTTTAAACTAAAAAGAATGATGAAACCAGTTTATCATTCCATTTTGTTAATCAGGCTTTGTGCTGCAAAATGCAAAACATTCCTGATCCGAATTTCCCGCGCTGTTTTACGGATGTGACGTTAATTGACGCTTCAAGCGCGTTCTCGACAAGGTTCGAACCCGGAAAAACATTTGGAAGCTTGCTAGGTGACGGTAACGCGTCTTTCACTACTAGCCACGTTAAAACCCCAAACAGAAGAGGAAGAACCTTGGAAATGGATTCTACAACTAGCAAACGACCAAGCGCAACTCAAAGCCCACTAAAGAGTGGCACAAAGAAGAAGGTTTTGTGAGCGGTATCTCGAGAGTCAAAAAGAAAATATGATAAAAGTCGGCCAGGGACCCGAATATCTATTGGTTATGCTCTGGAAGAATGGAGGCTGCTTCAACTGGATTTGGGCCTGAAAAAGGATGCGGACATGGCGCATTTTCTAGTGACCAGGTAAGTGTTGGTCTCCTTATTTCTGTAGGTTTCAGTAACGAGTAGGTAAACATCAGAGCTGTATCTGCACAATTTGAGAAAATAAAATAAAACTTATGGATTTAGATAATGCTGATTTAGGTAATCTAACAAATCTTTGTGCAGATGAACAAGAAACTTATCTAAGCTAACGGTGTTTAGCATATGGCTTCCTGATTAGTTTGAAAAAGCTAAAAGCAACCAAGGAGTTACCGGATCACTTCTACTTTTTGTGGACGACACGCCGCATGTGTTTGGAGATAAATGGATGTTCCGTTTATTCTGACGAGAAAAGTAAACAGAGCTTGATTTGATTATACCGCTCAGCCGGAGAGAGCTAGCGTGCGTTAGCATGTTAGCTGCGATCATATTAGCTGCGATCACGCTTCAGTTTGTAGAAGAGAACGGACATTTTCCAAACCAAAGATGAGGCTTTAGAATTATGTCATATTTGATCTACAGTCCAACCTCTAAGCAGGACTGTTACTTTAGTAGATAATGTTATTCGTGGGGTTTGTGTAACAGAACCCCATCGGAATATATTTCCCTAGCGCTATTGCTGAGAATAAATAAAATTAGGATTCATAAGAATAAATAATAAGTCAGCCATAACAACACGTTTGACTAAAAGTAAAGTTGTGCAGAAGTTTGTGTTTATTTTTCTAAATTTGTCCAGTTGAATGTAGGTCAGAATAAAATATGTTTGTGAAAATGATAAATAAATTTTTTTATAACTGACCTGCATTTTCATATTACTAGTTGTGCCACAGGTAAAGAAGCTTAGCCGTTATTGATCTATGTAAACAGAAGGTGTAGAGTCTCAACCAACTTGTTGACATTTTTGTTTAAAAATGTGTTTTCCAGCTACCGGAAGAAGCAGGCTCCTGAAACTGCAATTCAGGGAGGTAATGTGCAGTCAACCTCAACACCCAGTAAGCGAACAGCAGCTAAAATGTCGCATCGATTATCTCCAACTGAACCTGTGTCTGAGGGGTTAGTATCTTTTCTGTAAAACAAATATTCACGTTTTTATGCTATGATATTTCATACATTAAATTACACCTTGCATATCCACACTTGGTTCAGAACTAACATCACACCACCAAACACTTCTGACATTATCTTTACAGGGAAGATTTTCTAATGGCTGGTGTTGAGGCCTTAGCTGATGACCTAGATTTGGATCCTTTTGAAGAAAGGTAAATTTGTTCATGAGAAGTCTTGCCATATACGCAGGAAATTACTGCTGTGCAAAAAAGATAAAAACACAATAGATAAGCAAATATAGGTCATTATATATATTTATTTATGTTGTGAAGTGTCAATTCACAGCAGATTGTTGTTATTTGCAGAAATAATTAATGACAGATGTATTAGGCTCCACATTTATCTCTTTAGAATCAGTACCATTTCAGGTAAGTTCTAGTTTTTATCTTTACGTACAACAAATATTATTGTGTTGTCTGTAGTTTCAAATCCATGGATCTAGCTACGGATGCAGTCCAAATTGATGAGGACCAAGCAAACAACTTACTCAACAGTGTGTGAGTTGCAATGTCTTCTTATCTAGGGGTGGGCAAAATAAACGATATAAGGTAGAAATGATATAAAATTGGGTAATGATAGTTTTTGGCTATATCGCAATACGGCGATATTGTGATAACACATGACGTCACTAAGATGTGCACCCTGCTGACAATGGGACAACAGAATGGCGGTGACTGCAAGCATGGAGTGGGCGGAGGAGGAGGCCTATATGCCTCAAGTGGCATATATTTGCCACATGAGGATATCTAAAAGCATGTCAATTTGACATCTATAAACAGATGAAAAAATATATCGCAATATATATCGTTACTGCACATGCTTCCGATTATATCGCAATATAGATTTGAGGCCATATTGCCCAGCCCTATTCTTATCTACACTCTTTTTTTAAACTCCAAAGTCTTAAAACAATATATTAATTCTACTTTTATTTATTGTTTTCATAACAGAATAGAACTGTTATGAAAACTTTGTCAGGCTGACGAAGTTTGCAGCCGCAAACAAAACGTTGCAGGTAAATAAAACCCTTCTATGTTTTAAAAAGAACTAAAAGATGGAATTGTTGTTTTATCCTTGTTCACAGACTGGGATCCTAAAGGGAATTTCCATCCTTCTTGTGTGGCTGAATGACATCTTCAACCAATTTTGGTACATCTGCCAGAAAGCACAACATCGTGATATGTTTAATGTAAGTATTGTGACATCTTTTGGACAACAAGACAACAATGCACATTGACATAATTACCTTTCTTTTCATAATAGTGCCAGCTCTCGTGTTTCTGTTTGTGAGCGCTTCTGTCACATGTAAAGTTTTCAAATAAAACTTATTTTTTCTATTAGGACATGTGGGTGGGTGTGCTTCACCATGTCACAGGGAAGCATGAATGGACCCGTGGCAAATGTGACCATGGACCACTTGATGCAACGACCAGTGATAAAGAGCTCATGGTACCATGATCTCCACCACACGAGGCTCTTCAACGAATCATGTTCAACAGACGCTGGTTGAAGGATGTCACCAATCTGACCTTTAGGTATATTAATAACATTTTCATAAGCAAAAAAGCTAAAGTGTCAATATCAAAGCTGACAATTTACATATAGAAATGACAATTGTGGGTGAGAAGGCAATCAAAAGTGTGATTCCTAATAATCTATAAAGTTGTAGCTTTTGTTTTTTTACAGGTCAACTTCAGAACTGGAGAGTTTCCAGAATTGCATTCTCATGTAATCTATGTATGATCTAATGCTGCTGTTCTCTCTCCATAAAGGCCCCAGCTACGTGAAGCATCAAAAGACAGGAATGACTTCTTTCATGCACACAGATTTATTAGAAATTAAGAAAAAATACTATGTACAAATGCAAATAACAGAACTGTTTTTTGTACATAAATAAAAATAAATATATTGCACAAACAGTTTGTTTATTTTTGGGTGAAAATGCTGTCTTCAGCTAAAGTTATTTTGAGGTATTGTGCTGTTTTGGAACTACTGTAGTTGTAGATAAACGGTTAGGATTTTTGGGTTAGGGTGCCCTCAGTCAGGAAGACGATGTCCTGGCGTCTCTTGCCGAAACTCCAGGATATCCAGCATCACCCCTGGAAGACGGGTCACCACTCTCTCGAGAATATAATCTCCTCCTGGCTCAGGTGTTGTAAAGCTGTCTAGGAATTTAAGTGCATATGTTTACATGACTAGATTCATATCTCCAGTGAGTGATGTTTTCGTTTTTAGCATCTATTATTTTATTTTATTTTTTTACACAAATGGCTACAACCAACCTGCATCTCAGCTATACTGGCAGCTCTCAGCTGTGCAAGCCGGTCTCGGTCCTCTTCTCTGAAAGCTGCTCGCTGCCTACCCCGGCGCCCTGGTCCTCTTGAAGGAGCTCTGGACCTCAACCTGCTGCCCTCACCCCTTGAGCATGTCCTTCCCCAACCCTCGGAGTGACCTTTTCCTCTCCCCTTTCCTTTAGCCCCTGGTCTCAAACTTTCCCACGACACATCAAAGTCTGTGGCAGGCTCGGGCACACTCCATCTGAACTGTCTTCCATCACTCCTTCCAATGTGAATTCCTGAAAATCAATGACAGTAATGGAAAAATTACTGTACTACCCTGTAGGTCTTGTTGATATTATGATTTTATTTTGATGCATTTTTTGAACTAAACATTGATATTTATGTTCTTATTTACATTGTTGTGATGCCTGTCCTGTAATGAAATTTGTTTCACAAATGATGTCATTGACTTGAAATTGGATGTTCTTACATGATGTATAAACTAACATTAGCTTGTTAGTAAGCTTAGTGCAAAATAATAACTGTAATTTGTAACTTATTTGGTCTAAAAACATCAGAAATCACCTGCAGCCACAAAGCCTTATGCTAATAAAGTAGCATCATGTTACTGTCTTGCTCGCCAGTCACAAAACTGGCTTATGAATATTTCATAGGAAGGAGCACTTGCTTTACATCACGAGTGTCATGGCTAAATTAAAAAGCTAATGTCATGGAATTATACAAATATTAGACTAAAGTAACAATGTTACTTACTTCATCGCTCGACACGGTGCCTTGTTCGAGCCGCGCTCTGGCCGTACATCACTGTAACTTTTTTTTTTCTAGTGAAGAGTTTGTGCGCGCTCTCGTGCCGGGCTGCAGTTACTCACAGCGCCGAGTGCGTCGCTAATGAGTTTCGTTTCTTCATCCTGCCCCATGCTCCTTTAAATTCGAGCGATTAAGTTCAGAGGAACCAGCTGACATAACTTGGTGAAGTAAACTAGACATCTATTTTTTAGAGTGTAAATCTATGTAGAGCAGTTTGGTGTCTTCATCAGCCAGCCCTAATCGTGCTACATCAGCAGCTCCATCATCATGAAAGCTTCTTGTGAGGGACAGTGAACATTTGTGATGTGAAACATCCAAACACTCACCCTGACTTCATTGGGGTCATCTGAATAGTCGACTGGCTGACAAACGTAGCTGTACCTCGCTGCCCGTGCTGCCATAAACAGCTAAGGAACAAAAACGGTGAGTGAGAATCTAAAGGATCAGAAGGAGATGCAGTGCAAGCAGCAGCACACGTCACAAACATCTGGAACCCACCTCTTTAAAGATAAAGAAGTTGAGGAAGACCATGCTGAAGTTGTAGATGACGAGGGTTTTGCGGAGCTGGAAGGGTTCTCTGTTCTTCATGTATTTGGGCCCCAGCCAGAGGAAGAGCAGGTAAGAGGTGCTGATGGCCAGAGTGGGCAGCGGGTTGTCCATCAGAGGCCATTTCTCCACTCGTTTGTCTGCAGGACAGATATTCTCACACCGTTACACATCAGTGTGACAGGGCGTCAGGACAGAGTCATGTCACATCAGAGCTGATCCTTCTGGATGAGATACTCCCCAGAGGTCAGTCTGAGGCTACATTTTTGCAATTTGGTCTAGTTTTTTTAAAGTTTAAAAATTATGATCCTTTGAGAAGTTTGTGGTTTTATTTCACATTATTGCCAGGAATTGTTTTCATTTCTATTTATACACTTTAAAATTATAGCATTTTTTCCACAAAAACACAGAAAAAGCAATTAACTTTGTTTCCTTTTTTCTTCATTTCAAAAATACAGATACAGCTATGTATGCACCAATAAAATCCCACACACCTCTGCCTTCTGCAGCTTCGCTCAAACTGACTTTGCTGCTCGTAAGATAAAGAAAATAGTCACGAATAAAGCCTAATCTTATTCATACTGAGATATTTGCTGCTTACAGCTCAAAAAACACAATTGGAACATTTTAAATAAATTTCTTTGGTCAACTGTTGTAAATTTGCTGTTTTTATGATGAGTTTAGAGGCAGAAATGCAGCTTTTTGTTATGAAATGTGATCAAATCTGTGAAAATACCCATTTATTTAGATTTGTGTCAAAATACACAACAGTGTGAAAAAGGCTAGCGATGCTACTGGAGCCATGTTCAACATCTAAAGCCTGTTGACAAAGTTTGGTTAATTTTAAGGTCAAAGTTCATTTTTGTCAGCGATAAAATGAGGAAAGGGGTTCAAATATGGCCTCCATGGGGGAGCGCCATGCTAAAAACCTCCGCTGACAACAAAAAAACCCACAAAAAGCTCAAGAAGACATTTTGATTATGAAAGTCAAAGGTGGAACTTTTTAGAAGGTGTGATCCTTACCTGCAATAGTTAGGGTCCACTTGTAGAACTGTATGGTGTCATTAATTAGATGTTTGACAATCTCCATGGCTGCAAAAAGCTGAAATTAAACAGACAAAAATTCTATTAAACAAGTGGGGGAGCATTAACACAAATGCTGCAGATCATTCTGTGTTGCTTTGCAATAATTTAAAAACAATAAAACGCTGGTTGTGACTGATGAGGTAGACTTTTTGGGCCAGGAGCACCGCCATTGTCAGCACCTTTTAGGTGTGAACACGACCACCAGCCAACCTGCAAATATGACCCTGTAGAATAAAACCCATCCAGCAGAGGAGGGCGCATACAATTCATGACCCTTAAAATACTGCTCCTGCGATGATGCTCCATGAGCAGGTAGTGCTGCAGCACCTGCCATCCTGCACGCGCTGCTTCCTAATATAACAAAACTGTCCTCACCAGATTAAATTACGACATTTGTATAAATCTAAGCGGGTTTGATAATAGGAGCCTGTAAGTCTGCGGGAGGCTGTCCGGCCTCTAATTAACTCTCGCAGCCGTGTGCAGGCCTGTTCTTTATCTGATTTACAACAACACACACACACACACACACACACACACACACACACACACACACACACACACACACACACACACACACATAATAAGAAATATTCTAAGAGCGTCAATAACGTCATAATCCGCTGGAAACGGATGGCCTAATTTCTCTGTTTTTGTGCGAACCGTGGAGCACAATAGCTCCCGACACTGTCTCGCCTTAACGCTCCGTGAGGATGGGGATGCTGCTCATCACCTTACCGTTTGGGTGCTTGGTTAAAAAATAAAAGCCCGTCTGTTTTTACATTCGGTGCAGAATGATTGCAGAGCGCGTAACTCCTGCTGGTCGGACTGGTCGGCAGGTGGCTGAGCAGGCCGTTCAATGGCACGAATTACCGTCCCATCCTCCAGAGCGAGGCTGCTTCAGCAGGACTGCGCCTCCGTCCTCCGTCCGAGCCCTGGAAGGCGAGAGACGCAGTATGCGCCGCGTTTCCGGTTGGAGTTTCAAAATAAAACAATTGTGTCTACTTTCGGATTGGCACGACGCACCAGTGGATTTATTCAGTGAATTTTAAACTAATGCATATGAATTTTGATTAAACGTTTGTGACTTAAATAGTGCCCATTTTGACAAAACTCCTTTTGAAAAAGTGATGCTATTCTGCTAAATATTTATGTAATAATAAAAAAAAAATAATAATAATAATAATGATGATTATGTCATTGTTTTCATGTTGGCTAAGTTTCATTCAAGCAGCCAGGTGTTCCAAAGATACGCTTATTTATTATTTATTATTAAGCCAATCAGAAAAAAGTTTCCTATATAAGGAACCCAGCAGGTTGCATCGAGTCACTGACTAGTGTCAGAGTCTTTACAGCAATCCTCATACTAAGCAAGCATGCAGCGACAGTGGAGAGGAAAACTCCCTTTTAACAGAAAGAAATCTCCAGAGGATCCTGGCTCAGTATAAGCAGCCATCCACCATGACTCACTGGGGATCGAGAAGACAGAGCAGACACATGCATACACCAACCCACACACACACAAACACACATCCACACACTCTACATATATACCAAGGAATGTTTCTATGGTTATATTGTGATTTCTTAGTAAATATTCTATTTGGTGAGGGATGAACTTTATTGTATTCATCCTAGTGAATCTATGATTAAACAGGTAAACTAGTAGTAGCACATTCAATGTCAAAGAGAGTAAAATGTTATTATCAGGAGAGAGAGAATGTTTAAGTGGTTAGCAGCAGTGTGCTAGCCGATGGCCCCCACCATGAGGCCACCACAGCTCAGCAGAACATCATTATAGCTTCTTCTGGGGAGAAAAACACTTAGAGAAAAAATAAAGTTAACAGCTGAAATAGCAGGAAACAATACAGTTAAAGAGCTAATTGTAGAAGAAAGTAGTAGAGTGTGGAAAGTGGTCAGTGTGTCCACCAGCAGTCTAAGCCTATAGCAGCATAACTACAGAGATAACTTTGGATGACCTAGCCTTTTAGATGGAGGCATGTTGGAGGCAGGGCAAGGGAGAGCCGTCTTTACCGACTGTACACTCCACCTCCCTCTACTCCCCCACTTGTCCAGATCTGGGCTAACATCAGATTTTAACCATAGGCCCTATCAAATAAAAATGTTTTAAGCCTAGTCTTAAAAGTAGACAAGGTGTCTGCCTCACGGACTAAAGCTGGGAGCTGAAAAGACATCCATAAATATTTGGGATGTCCATCCATCCATTCATCCATCCATCCATTTTCATCTGCTTAACCGGAGTCGGGTCATGGGGGCAGTAGCATAAGGCGAGAGGCCCAGACTTCCCTCCCCCCAGCCACTTGGGCCAGCTCCTCCAGGGGAATCCCAAGGCGTTCCCTGTCCAGGTGAGAGACATCCCTCCACCGTGTCCTGGTTCTACCTTTAGGTCTCTTCCCGGTTGGACATGCCCAGAAAACTATGGAAGAATTAAAGTGCCAGAAATTGAGCACTTGAACTTTCAATTTGAGAGCAGAATTTCATATCAAGAGACCAACTTTTTAATTTGAGAATAAGATTTTATATTATTGCTCTCAAAACTTGTAATGCGTGCACTCAAAATGTCTGTTCTCTCTTTTAAATATACTCTGTTCTCCTTCAAATCTTTGTTTCTGCGCTCAGATTTAACCTTCTTTCACTGGTATTGTCTTCTCACGTGACAACTTTTTCTCTGCACGGATCAAAACTGCTCCCACAAGTCTGCTCCCTGCTCTCATGGATTTTTTCTGCTGTTGCTCAAAACTTGGAAGTACAATCTCCTAGCAACTGCTCAGCCAATAGGAGAACTGTATGGAACTGGGCGGTGACAAACGTCTTGGGGTTCACTCGATTTTAAAGCGGGTTATCCCATAGATATGAATACGTAGATGCCCAATTGGGCACTGGAACAGTTTCACCGCCATATTAGATGGGTCTCCTCACTCTCCATTGTCAATGCAGAACAGCAGTGACTGTAAAAAGAGATGCAGAAGCAGAGTAAACAACTGTGCCCATTTCTGTGCAGTTTTTAGTTGGGTAAACACCTCCTCAGTAGAAAAGAATGCACCGGAGGCAAATGGAGACCCATCTAAAATGGCGGCCGGCCACTACGACAGCTCCAATAGACAGCGCCAGTCCACGAGGCGTCTACGTACATTTGTCTGTGGGTTATCCTGTGAGGCTTCAACAGTTAGCTACATCTGCTCTTCAGCTTTCTGCTCCACGTTACGATCATCATGTGGACATTGTCAGTATCATGGTGTTCAAGCTGATGAAGACTAATGAATTATTTTGGCCAGACAGACTTTTTACACACATACTTACTCGTTCGCTTAGCTAACCCTAACCCTACATGACAGCAACAGCCTGCTGACCTGAAGCAGGTTATTTCTTTTATGTTGACTGTTTTAGAGTTTTATTTTTTATCAAAAAACTATTTGTTAAATAAAAACAGCAGATTTATGCCACACTATCTAAATGTAATATAAAATATGATCAGTTATTTATAAAAATCATTTTAAAATCTAGATGCACAAATGGCTCAAATTTCAGTTCTTCTGTTCAAGTGAAAGAAAAATAAAGACTCCAGTTGAATCAACATTATTTATTGTAACAATGAGATTTCTACATGGATCACAAAAAAAACTGCTTATTCAAACTAGCATGGTAGTACACACTCCTCATCAACACTTAGTTCCTAGAGACAAAATCACACTCATCTGTTGTTGTAAAGAGTAAATTAGCATAAAGGGTAAAAATTGTATTAATGATGTAAACACATTTCACAGTGTATGAAGCCTCACTTTAAACCAGCTTCTTCTGTCACAGATAAAACTAAACACAGTTATTGTAAAGCAGCACATCTAACCTCTATCTCACACTGGAAGCATCAGCAGCGCAGAACAGCGCTGCTTCAAGTACAACCCATTTTAGTCTGGGGAGGGTCCCCAGAATCGGACCGCTGTGCCGCTTAAGATAGGATCGGGTTATATTTTTGCCACGAGCCACTTCTGTGCCAAGTCCATTCCTGCAGTAAACACAGGGCTAGACAGGAAATCACAAGTTTCAGTGTAAATGTCTGGCAATTTTCAAAATATGACTAATGCAGCAAAGCTCACATCTACATGTGACCTCATGGCTTTGTTTACTATCAGTTTCTTTCAAGAAGTGATTTTCAGCATGGACGATGCTTTAACCTGGCAGGAGGGGGGCACAGCACACTCCTGCAGCCTGCACACCAGAATGGTTACGGCCGACTCGCCACATCAACAGGAAAACGGGAAATGATCAGTCATGGTGAAAAATGTGCCCCAGAAAATAAAAGAACTGCAAAGATTAATGTAAATGCATAGTTTAGGTTGAGTGGGTTGTCCAGTAATCAGAAGGTTGCAGGTTCAATCCCAGCTCTGACCAGAGAATGCTGCTGTTGTGTCCTTGGGCAAGACACTTAACCCACCTTGCCTGCTGCTGGTGGTCAGAGGGACCGGTAGTGCCAGGTGCCAGTGCTTGGCCGCCTTGCCTCTGTCAGTGTGCCCCAGGCCAGCTGTGGCTACAGGGTAAAGCGCTTTGGAGTCCTCTGACTCTGAAAGGGGCTACAAGAGTGGATCATTCATCATGTAGATCATGAACCCAGAGATGTTCATGAATCTAGAGAACAATGTTCCCGCAGGTTCTGTCAACACACAACCGACCGTGAGGTGACATCTGGGAGTCAGAAGCAGCGAGCTTCAGGAGCATCATCTGCTAACTCTAGAAGTTCTGCTAGATGAACCCAGATGTGAGCAGCTCCTGCTAGCCTAATGCTTCTCTGTTAGAAGTGAGGAAACCACAATGCTCCATCCATTTCTGGTAAAGCTCTGCAAGCACTCGTCTCTCTGACCTCATCCCTCCTTTCCTTTTACACGAGCAGCAAACACAGCAGCACCTACTTTTACACAAACAATCATTTAGTTTGTTTTTCAAAGTAAGAGAAATAAAACCTTTTAAAGATCTCAGAAAAGCATCTGATGTTCTGCAGAACTGTGGTTCTTTGTTAAAGTTGTGAAAGTTAAATACATCATTACATTTAAGTCAACGTATCTGTTGAATTATTATTCATTCACTTTTTCTTTTCTTCTTCTAGTCATTGAACGCCCCATCCAACAGTGGCTCTCCCGGTTCTCCGACTCGGTTAAAGTACACCATAATTCTACAGAATAAAGTTTTTAATGTTAATAATGTTCGTGGACGCCCTCTGGCACTGATCAGTGACATAACTCTGCAGAAGCAGTCGTGATACGCTGACATCTGAGCAAAGTCCTTAAAGGGCCGAGTTTGTATGGAGAGACAACAGCTGGGAGGACCGAGCCGTTGTGTCTTCTTCTACAGAGGAAACATGGCTATCATGTCTGTCATATCACCTCTACAAACTAAATGTCATTGTTTACAGTATTTATATGTTTACTGAAACTTTTCTAACATTCACCACAAACCCTGAGTCCTGGTTGAGCTCCACACTGAGGCGCATTAACAACATGTTCAGATCTGAGTCAGCATCCTCTTGTTCTGGTCCAGGGTGGGAAAGCAAGGTTTTAATGTTGATGTAACAAATCATCTAGATCAAATCTAAATATTTAAACTAATGTTGAGACTCACATGAGCCGTGATGTCCATGATGCTCTGGAGCTTCTTCTCTTCTGGCCTCCTTGTTGTTAAAACCTTCGGATGAACCTGGCTGCTGCAGGAGTCTGGACAGCAGGGGACGGTGGGAATGCTTCTGAAATCTGCATTTGTCTGAGAACAAGAGTAAACACACAAAACTACGTCTGAGAAATGAATCATTCTTCAGTGGTTGGTGAACCAACACACACAGAAGAAACAAATCTACTAGGGAATCAAATACTCATGTTCATTATCCAGTTCATGCAGGAACAGATGTGGCTGATCCTAAATGAACAGTCTGAGT